TGGAGCACAGCAGATTCCAGACTTGATCCAAGCAAGGGATGGTCACCTACAAGATGGCAGGTGCAAGGGTCAGGAGCACAGTCACAGGCTCTTGAGGGCAGCCAGCAGGAAGCTCACCTTGATGTGCAGCCGTGTGTCCGTCTCAAACTCCACATCCAGCCTCAGCTTCTGGATGTCCCGGGGGTAATAGGCCTTCTCCCTCCGCACCAGCAGCCCCACCATGCCCAGCGCTGTCTGGTTGAGGCTCTCCAGGGTGTAGCTGGGGAAGTCAGGGGGATAGAAGCACCAGGGCACCCCCTGCTTGCCCTCTGCCAGCGGGGGACCCTGGATGAAGCAGCAGCCTCGGCTTTCGCAGAGCTCCTGGGTCACCACCACGCGCCGCTCCGGGTAGCAGTCAAAGCGATGGCTCTCAGGGACCACGAGACATTTTGGGGGTGCTGTGGGTCCCAGCCAGCCCCCCGACACTTGCCGCAGCACCCAGACAGTGATGGTGCTCAGCAGAACGGCGGCCACCAGCAGCCCACTGCCCACCCACCATGGGGCCAGCTTCCCATGGCCAGAGGGCACCGGGGCAGCCCCCTCCTCTTCCACCCGGCATGCTGCTGGCTGTGCTGCTGTCAGCCTCTGGTACGACTTCATTGTCCTGCTGCTGGATGGAAGGGGTGAAGGAGACAGAGGGGGAGAGCTTGCCCAGGCCTCAAGGACAGCTTCCTCCTCTCCTGATGCCTGTGGTTTGGGCAGAGCCTGCTCCCTCAGCACCCTGCAGCATCACATCTGCACCTTCAGGCAAGATGCACCTGGTAAACTCTGCAAAGGAAGGCTTTACCAAGGTCAGTTGGAACTGAGCCTGCTAAGTGTGGGGAGACAGACACCCAACTGTCCACCAGTCCCAAGGGTCAAAGTGTGCCTGCTGCTCTCTGTGAAGAGGCCAAAGCACCATTTGCTTTTGGGAGGTGGCAGAGTGGCCCCTCAAGGAGTTTCTCCCAGGTCTGAATTAATGGGCTGCAGTGTTTCTGGAAGGTGCAAGCAAAACCGAGCTTGTTCTTCCTGGGGAACGGAGCTGTGATGCTGAGAGCTGCAGCTCCGAGGTGAGGAGCATTCTCTGCTCTGAGCATTCCTCTGCTCAGAGCATCCTCTTCGAGCATCCTCTGTCATCACCGTCCAAAGCCCTGACTCAGAGGTTTTAGACCTAAGGAGGGCTGAGCAAGGGATGGCTGGGAATATGCCATTAGTCCTTGCTTCCCACTGATAAATGCTGATCCTGACAACCTCTCAGGCAAACACCTTCCATACTCTAAGCAAAGGAGACCCCCATGCTAAGTTTGCAGGCAGCAATCTCAGCACCTTAAAAAAGGGACACAACTTTCTTCCCTCCATCTCCTCACTCTCATTCAGACCCTGCTCCCCTCACCCTCCTCCCTGCACAGGCTCAGAAAACGGCTCCATCCCCCACCAACACATTTAGTCCCCAGCCCTCTCCCAGCTCGGGCCACCACCACGGCTCGACCCGGCCGCGAACCTCCCCGAGCGGCGGCGCCTCCGCTTTATGGACCCGCCCGCCGCTTCCCCAGGCACGGCCGGCTCCCGAACCCCGGGGCCCTCTGCCCGCCACGGCCACACGCACCGGGGACAGTGCCCGGCCGGCCGGGGGACACACAGCCGGGGGACACACGGACGGACGGGGGGACACACGGCCCAAGGGGGGCACAGCCGGAGCGTCCCCGGGCAGCGGCGCGCCCCGGCAGCCCCTGCCCGCCTGCGGGCCCCGCTCCGGCCGTGCCGGCGCTTACATACACGTGTGTCCTCTTGACATTGTGGCTGCGGGCAGCGGGCACGGGCAGCGGGCAGGGCACGGGCAGCGGGCAGGGCACGGGCAGCGCTCCCGGCGCTGCGGCTCCGCCGGCCCCGCCGTAAACACCCGACGAGCGGCTCGGCCGGCTCCTACCGCGCCTCTCTAGTAGCAGCGCATCCCCACACGCCCCTCCTCCGCTCGCTCTTCCGCGTTGGGTGCTGTTTTTAAATTTTATTTTTAATATTTGTGTCTAGAGTACGGGTTTTTTAGGTTTTTCCACAGTTGATGCACGCAGGATGTCAAAACCCAAAGAATGAACACCTCTGTTTAGGTGTTCTAAACCTCTGTTTAGGTGACTAAACCTCTGTGCCCCCTTATAGAGTGAGAGTACTTTATCTCTGCTCGGTGGCTTCAGGGAATCGTGATGCTGGGTGTGTTTTGGGCCAGACTCACAAAACCTCACACATCCCAGAACCTTTCTCCATCCAAGTTTTCACCAGAGGTCCATGCACTCCTCTTCATTTGCTTAACAAGTGTGTGTACTGCCCAGGCTTTCCCACTTTTCGAGGGACTAGAGAGCTCCTCCTTGTTTACTATTGAAGGCCACCGCTGTCTAAAGTTCAGCAGCAAATGAAAACAGACCTTTGGAGCAGAGGTACTTTCCCCAGGGAATGAAAACGAAAAGTAACCTGTTGTGAACAGGGCAATTCATCCAGAAACAGAATTTCAGGTGACACAGTTGCTCCCCTCCTGCTCTATGTGATCTGTCAAAGCCCATGTTGTTGTAAAAACAGGAGGAAATACCTCAGTTCTGGTGAGCTCCATGTGCAGGGTTGTCACCACAGAGGGCGAAACCCCCGTCCAGGATGCAGCCAGCCCATCCCTCCTGGTGGTCCTCAAGGACCAACATCTCGTGGATGTCTCAGGGATAAACCCTGGATGATTTAGCATGGCTCTGACCACTCTTAGTTATCACCACTCAGAGAGAGCACAAAGAGTAGGTGGCTGTGTTGGGGACTTCAGTGGCCCCAAAGGCTCCCACACCCAGCATCCCTCTCCTTGCTCATCTTGGCTCTCTGAGCCACTAGAACCTTCCTGGATGGAAAGAGATCTGGAGACAAACCTCAGAGGCATCAGTGGAGACCGCAGTGATGGCTGAAATCTGTCCTCCAGCCCTTAGCTCACCCTGTCCCAGCACCCAGTGCAGGATTTCAACCAGTGCCTGCAAATCTGGGAGAGGTGAAGGCCAAAGCTGCTGCAGCTACACTGGACAGCAGCTTCATGCCACCCATCACCTGGGAGCTTTAGCCAACCTCATTAGCTCAGTTCCAATGATAAATAGGGATTTCTTAACATCAGGGAGGTGCATTCACTAAACCTTGCTCTGGCTGCCCAGATCCATGGGGCTGTGCCAGGTATGAGGCTGCCTGTGTTTTGCAGCTTGTGTTGTTCAAAGGGAGCAGGGAAAAAGATGGGATCTTACTCACAGCCTCAGTTGTGGCCCTTAGAGCTGCTCCAGTATTTGGCCCCAAGGCTGGAAAGCACAAACTGCATGGGGCTGACACAGACTTTCCAACATTGTTATGGACACAGGGAAATCAAAACAAGCCCAGATGAGATGGAGCCAGTTTGGTTTGGTTTAGTCAATTGCCTGTGTTATTACATTTTTTGATGCATTATCATGATTGTTGGATGCCCCCAGGATCCAAAATGCTGTTCACACCATTGGGGTCAGGGTGCTGTGTTTAGCAGCTCACACAACTGCATGAGGAAAGTGCAAAGATTGGGTTGAGAATCCAACCCTGGGCAGGATTTGGCCCTGCTGGAAAGCTCAGGGAGCTGCAGGACAGGCAGTCCACAGGTCCACAGCTGGTGGAGGACAAGGCTGGTCAGTGGCCACCTCAAGCAGCCCAGGGAACAAGCGAGTCCTCCCAAGAGCATTGGGATGCCCAGGACACGTTTCCCCATCATCATTTGCCCTGCAACAAGACCAAGTGCTGGTGCTGCACCTGGGTCAGGGTAACTCCTGGTATTAATCCAGACTGGGGGATGAAAGGATCAAGAGCAGCCCTTCCAAGGATTTGGGGGTGCTGGTGGATGAGAGGCTGGATATGAGCTAACAAAGTGCTTGCAGCCTAGAAAGCCAACCGTGTCCTGGGCCGCACCAAAAGCAGAGGGGCCAGCAGGTCAAGGGAAGTGATTCTACCCCTCTGCTGTGCTCTGTGAGACCCCACCTGCAGTGCTGTGTCCAGCTCTGGGGTCCTCAGCACAGGAAGGACATGAAGCTGTTGGAGAGAGTCCAGAGGAGGCCACCAAATTGATTAGAGGGATGGAACACCTCTCCTATGAGGAAAGGAGAGAATTGGGATTGCTCAGCCTGGACAAGAGAAGGCTTCAGGGAGATCTTATTGCCATCTTTGTCTGAAGGGAGCCTGCAAGAAAGCTAAAGGGGAACTTTTGACCAGGGCATGTGGTGGCAGGACAAGAGGTAATGGTTTAAAACTGATAAAGAGCAGATTTAGTTTAGACGTCAGGAAAAAATCTTTTCCATGAGGGTGGTGAGGCAGTGGCACAGGTTGCACAGAAAAGTTGTGGATGCCACATCCCTGGAGGTGTTCAAGGCCAATTTAGATGGGGTTTGGAGCAACCTCGTCTAGTGGAATGTGTCCCTGCCCATGGCAGGGGGGTTGAATCGCGATGAGCTTTAAGGTCCCTCCCTAACCAACCATTCTATGATTCCATAAAACGCACCCGTGTGTGAGCGTGCAAAACCCCCAGCCACGCTGCGCCCCCGCCATCGGGACTGATCCGAGCGGTCGGGAGCTGTCGGAGAGGGGTGAGCCCCGCAGCGGGGCGGGGGCACGGGGCGTGGTGTAGAGGAGACGCGGATGAGGATGGGCATGAAGGGGGCATAATAGAGGAATCAGGACCAGGGTGAGGACGGGGAGAAAGATGGAGATGAAGGAGGGATGGGGACCAGGATGAGAACAAGGATGGGGACGGGGCTGGGGACGGGGATGAAGGGGGGCGACTACGTGCCGGCAGCGGGCGGCGCCCCGCCCGTCCCGCGCCCTCGCCCATGAATGAACGGCGCGGGCGGTCCCGGGGTGACGCGGCGGGCGGGCCGGGCCGGGCGGTGACGCGCGCGGTGACGCGCCATGCCGGAAGCGGCGGGGGCGCTGGTTGGTCGGCGGCGCGGCGGGGGGGAGGCGGCCGCCCCGCGCTTGTTGTTGTCCGCGGGACTCGCTGGCAGGGAGGGAGGAGGGAGCCGCGCAGCGCCCCCGCCGCCGCCCCCGCGCCCCCGCCGCCCCCGCCGCCGCCCCCGCCACGGGGCGCTCCCGCCGGCACGCAGGTGAGGAGCCGCCCGGGCGCGGCGCGGAGGGGGCGGGGGCGGGGGGGTGGGTCGGAGCCGGGAAGGGGGGGTGGCCGCGCGTTGCCGCTCGATCGCGGGGGAAGGGGCGGCTCGGCCCGGCTCCGGCCCGGCTCCCGCTCGGTCCGGTCGGGTCCGGTTGGGCGCGGGCGGGCGGGGCGGCGGAGGTAAAAGTGCTGAGTCACCACCGCGCCGGGCACGTGGTGCCGCCGCCCCTCGCACCGGGCCGGGCCGGGCCGGGCGCGCACGTGGGGCCCGGCGGGGGGCTCGGGGCGGGCGGCGGCGGCCCCGCCGTGCGGGAGCGGGAGGGGGCTCGGGGAGCGCCGCCCGCCCCCGCCGAGCGGCCCCCGAAGCCCCCGCGGGGCGGAGGCGCGACGGCCCCGCCGCCACAGCTTCCCTGTCACCTCGCACCAGCGGTGCGGAGCCGGCACCGCTGAACCCCCGTGGGACGGGGCTGGCAGCGCCCCCGCACCCTCGGGGACACGGGGCTGGGGGGTCCCCTGGGTGTTTGCCGGGGTGATGCTTTCCCTGTCTCTTGTTGTTATTTTTCTTCCCCCCGAGGATGAGCGCGCTGCCTGCCTCTGCCTTTGAATGGCTCTTAAAATACATGTGAGGAAACCTGTTGTGACGCCGCGCGCTCCGCCGACTAAAAATAGCAGCTTTTGTAGTACGGAGGGAGCCGGGGCGCAGCCGGGGCCGGGCAGCGTGGCCGCGGCGTGCGGCGCTGGCCGGGCGTGGTGGCGGCTTCGTGATCCGCTGTCCGCCCCGGGTTATCGGGCAGGAGCAGCCGCCGCCACCGGGAAATGCCAGGCGGGCGCGTCGCTGCCTGTCGGATGGGCTGGGGGGTCAGGGCTGCGGCGGGTGGGGGGCTTATCTCTGCTGAGCACAGCTGCTGGTCGGGTGGAAAGAGGGAGAGGTGCGTGGTGTGTTCGGGCTGGTCCCGGAGCCTGTGGGGAGGGAGGGATGCGTGTGCATGGGGCCGCCCTGCAAGCGGGGTGCTCTGCGGCCGCCCAGGACTGGCCGTGGGAGGAAAGGGGACGGTGACATTCCGGGAGCGGGCAGTGCCGCGTGACTGTCTGGTGGGTGCGGGACGGTTTGGGGATTTAATCAGAAGTGAGGAGGTGGGTGGGGGGAACCTCTTCAGCCTCCCCGTGACGGCAGCGGCATAAGGTGGGGAAACATCCAGGCCACGAGCGACGGGAACTGAAATCTCCAAACTCTCACAGTGTGTCAGGGTCTGTTTCCTTCCTCCTCTTCCTCGGGCTGAGAGCCCGCTCCCCTCCCTCGTGGGTTTCTCCGTGGAGGATTTATTTTACAGATTCTGCTGAAAGCAGGCCATGAGGTCTCAAATTAGGAACGAGCCCCCTTTGGGCAAAGTTGTTACAGAAAAGGGAAAGGCCTCCATTTTCGCTTTCACCTGGCCGCCCCCTCCTTTGCCAGCGTGCCTAAAGCTGAGCTGGGACTGCGGAAGGTGGAGGGAGCCAGTGAGAGCAAAGTGGTGTTTCCCTGAAAAGCTGCACGCCTTTTTCTTGCACTTTCAGTTTTTGTGAGCCCTGTGGCGGACGCAGCCCAGCGCCCCAGCCCAGCGCCTGGTGCCGTCGGGGTTCTAGCAGCGAATGACTTTACCTGGTGGCTTTTTCTCACTGATGAAAGCAGCGTGCGTCCCTCCGCTCTTTCCCCCCTCTCCTTCCGTGTGTGTCCGCGGTGCTGCCTGCGGAGAGCCCTTCCCCAAGCCTTCAGTCACTTCCTCGGGCTGATGGACGCCGCGGCTGCCCAATGGCAGGCAGGGCTGCGCGGCCCCGGAGTTAACTCTGCTCCCGCCCGGCCGGGCTGCCGGACCTGCGGCTGCCTAGGGTTTCAATGCACTTGCCGCAAGGTTGGGCACACGGTGACTCTGGCCGTCAGGACACCCTGCCCGCTTCTGCACGCTCTGAGCTTGACAGGGCTTTGAGCCCTGTTAAGTGTTCCTGGCTGTATTGCGCCAGCTTCTTGCCTTGCTTCACAACTGTTTCTGAACCAGAGGTAGAAATTTGTTGGGTTTTTTATTTTTTTTTTCCCCTGCTTGCCTGTCAAGGACAGCGTGCTTTGTCATGTTTTATGTCATTTCTGCGCCGTCGCCTGCTTCAGCAATCTGTTGCGGCGTGGAGTTCAGTACTGCTGTGTGCCTCCTGAAAGGGAAAAATACAGATCAGCTTGATACCCTCTGATTTCCATCAGCATTGGAAGATGATTAATGGCATGGAATGTGCTGCAGGATTTGGTATTGAAAATCTCTAGCTGTATGAGATGTTTGGGAAGCAAAGAAAGGACAGCTGGGAGCGCTGGCCCCTGCGGCAGTCGGGGTTTGCGGGATAAGCTCGCTCGCTGATCATTTTTGTAAACATCCAGCTGTGAAATACTTGAGTGGTGCTAGCACTTTCAATTATCAGGAAGTTTCAGGCTCAGCACCCTGTAGAGATGAACAGGCAATTTCCACTTCTGTCTCAGCTATTGTTTGAGGCTATCTTCAAACTTGGGCAGAGAGTCTTCCAAGCATGAAGCAAGCACAAGTGATGCAGTGCTCTGTGACCATCAGCACAAGGGCTGGGGGAAGGCAGTAATGAGAGCAATTACCCTGGCACTGTGCTCCTGAGTTGAGGGACAGGCTGCATAGTGGATCCCACTGCTTTGCAATATTGCAGGACGCCAAATAGCGATGCTATGTTCCATTATTAAAGTTAGTGAAGATCTCTGACTTGATGGCTGGCACTTGGGGTCAGGAGCAGCAAAGTTAGGAATCCCAGTTCTGCCCCAGGGTCTGGCTGTGCATCCGAGCAAGTTATTTGTTGCTTGGTGGCTCAGCTTGTCCGGCTGGGGAGCTGCATCTCTGGGCTGGTGATGCTGAGGTGTAATTCCAGTATATCTCTGTCACCGTGTTTTACAAGCACGTGATGGAAAAAGTGCTGTAAGCTTGTCAGTACCAGGGCTGGCTGTCGCATACCTTTCCCCTTCAGCCTCCTCCTCCATGAAGTTTCAGAGGTGACACACAGACGTACCCGCCTGGTGCTCTGTATCCCTGCTCCCTAACCACAGGCTCTTTGCAGCTTCTGACTAGGTTGTTTACCAAAGCACTGAAGACTGTCTGATCCATGTCCAGGCTTCCCCAGAGAGTGCCTCAGAGAGCTCTGTCCTGGCAGCTCTCAAATGTGCTCTGAAGGTTCCTGAATCTCCCCTTTGCTGCTGGATGCTGGTTCTGATCCATAAGGGAAATGGAAAGCTGGCCAGCTGGGCGAGGGCTGCGTGGAGCTCCTCTAGAACAGTAAACAGTGACTCACCCCCTCCTTGTGTCTTCTCTCTCTTCATGTCAAATATATTGCCTCGCATATGCTTCTCTACTCTCTGATTCACACCACCAGCCCGTCCCTCCCCGCTCTCATTACAAATGAGTGACAAGCGTCAGTCTGCCTTACAGGATGTGTGAAGGTTGTCAGAGCAGGAGAATGGCTTTTTGAGTGATGGGAAGAGGGATGGTGCTCTGCCTACCATGCTGCAATGTGCTGGAAATCCGTGTCGTGCCTCCGAGCGGCAGAGGCACGGCGATGAGGATTTAAGCATCTGTAGTTGCCTTCACCTGTCAGCTCAGATGTTACCCGGGATAGGCACATCCGTTTGGCTGGCGCTCTGGAGCTGGGAACAACTTGAGGATAAACGAGAAATTTAAACAGCTGCCTAGGATTTAAATGGCTGCATTTGGGAACGAGTAGAGTGTTCCCTGCGTAGCTGTCGGTGCCGAATTGAGACGTGATGGCAGAGATCCCTGTCACTGCTTGAACCTTGCGCTGTTTTTCTGCCCTCGGGAAGTCGTCGCTGGCCTGGCGGAAGGTGAGGCTTGCATGTTTTCAGTTTGCTCTGTCTGTGTGAGGATGGAGGCTAAACACCAGCAGGGCTGTCTGCCAGGCACTCGTCTTGTGGCCGGGGTTGTCTTTCGGTGTAGAAAGAGTTTTAAAATTCAAGTTCATCTGCAGTTTTTGGGTGTCGGCAGTGATTTTATAGTAATTCCTTAATGTGTAACGTGCTTGGAAAGCCCTGTAGCGTGGAAAGTCTGAAATCTCACTCTGGCATGTTTTCTTTCTTAATTGCAAGCCTTGAGTGGAAAGCTCTGTCCTACCTCTGCCTGAGTCAGGCTTTCTGCTGCCTTTCCCTTTCAAAGCAAAGGAACTGAGATCTCTAGATGCTCTAAGCTGAGACTGTCAGACTTAGGATGTCAGCTGGAGACTTCCAGGTTTTTGGGAGGATGCTGCAGGAGGCACAGGAGCTGTCTGAGAGAGGGAGAGGGCGTTGGCAAGGCTGTCAATGGGTAACTTTATTGCAGAATTACAAGGGCTCTTTATGTAACCCACAGTCAAAACACTTGCTGTAAATACGAGCGTGGAGCAGCTCTGGAAAAGCTTTTTCCCCTCACAGTTGGTGTAATACTACTTGCTGCTTTATTGATGTGGCATTCAGAATGTGTCGTACTGCTTACAGAGCAGGGATGTAGTGCGGTGCTTGTTCCAAAAAGCTGAGCTCCTAATTTTAGATGTGATGCAGCAAATGCAATTAAGGAAAGAAGGGCAGGAGTAGGGTAAAGACTAAAAGGGTTCTAATAATCAAATCGCAGGCAGGGTCCCAGAAGACCCCTGTGCAGCATGTTTAGGGAACGCTGCTGGGTATGACTTGTTTGCAGAGTGGTTTATGATTTCATTGCGGGGTTTTGCTTTGTAAGTAACAAATGTAAGGGAGATGACATGCTGATTTTTAGTGTCTTCTTGCTGGTAGCTGAATAGTCCCAACTAATCCTGATGGGAAGGATTTGGTAGATAGGATGAGGCCCAAGGCTCTGGAGGACTGCTGGTGAGGATTGCGAGTGTTGCTGTATCGGTTTCGAGTGAAGCCCAGACCACACCTGTGTCTTCACCTAGTGCAGAGATAAGACTCACCCTTGCACTCATATCTGACTTGAGCATGTTTGAGTGTTTCTACTTGCTCTGTGAAATCTTGCCCTTTGGGTCAGGCCAGCCCACAGTCTCCCACCCCTGTTTTAAGAGGGTCTGGCATCACAATTCCTGATGGTGCCTTGAACCTCCTCGTTAATCTGTGTCAGCAGCAGCTCTGGCCATGGCCCCTGGTGCAGTAGGGTGGATCCCAGCCTATATCTGAGGGATGCTGGCCCATCCAGGGTGTTTTGGTGTGGGGGGAGACAGGTGTGCAGCGGAAGACTCCGAGCCAAGCGCCTGTGCTGTCCTCTGAGGAATGTGCAGGGTAAGGAGCTGTTGCTTTGGTGACATGGAGCAACAGGTGACCAGTAGGGTTTCATCACTCAGAGCTGGAGCACTGCTCAGGGTGGCAGGTGAGCCCTCACGCTGACCCCCAGTGGAGGCAACCTCACCCCTCGCCTCTTGTTTTCCATGATACTTTACATTTCTTTCCATCTCCGCGCGGCCAAGCGGCCGCGTTCAGTTTTTCCATCGGCTGGCGCACGAAACGCTTTGAAGACGCGCTGGGTGAGGATCAAAAGGCTTTTTGTGCACTCGGTGGGTGTGACGGGGCTCTCGTCGGCCTCCCCCTCCTTTTTGCCTTTCCTTTTCCGGCGTTCGCAGCGCGGCCAGCGGCCAGTGCGCCCCTTCCCTTGTAGGGATGGGGGCGGCGCGGGAGGGGGGGATGCCGCCGAGGGAAGGAAGAGTTTCTGATGCTGTGGGAATGTGAGCGCTCAAACTCTGTAAACAGCTGGTGACTCACTGCATAACTATGGCACCAACTGCCTGCGGCCCGGCTGCGCCTCTGCAGGGAGGGGGCTGCCGGCCCTTTCCTCTCCGCACTGGCAGCGCCTCTGCGCTCCTCAGCTCCGAGACCTCCTGGCCAAGACAAGGAGCTTTTTCCTTCCCCCCCGCCCCGCCTGCCAGTGCCTACGTCTGCGGCTCCGGCCGGGAGGTAGGGGTGGGCAGCAAATGCCTGGTGTGGAGGGGAAGCGATGGACGGTGCAAGGGCAGCGCTGGGGTCTGGAGAGGTGCCTGCGCTCGCAGGAGACGGTGCTCTGAAGAGCGCGCAGACAGAGGGTGGGCGCATCCCCGTCTGTCGCAGGCAGCTCAGGGGGGCTGGGAGTCGCCCCCCTGCCCCGTGCCCTGCCCATTCCTGCTGTCCTGGCGAGACAAGGGGCGGCTGTGGCTGGAGGTGTGCCCGGGGTGGGGCTCAGTGCTGGAGGAGAGCAGGGAAGGACTCGCTGATGCTCTAGAAAATGCAGCGCACACCAGTTGCTGTAAGTGGTCCATTCATCACGGAGCATCTTGGCTTGTGTGCTGTGCGGCTGTCCTTGTCCCTCCTCCAGACATGGAGAGCTGTGCTGTCTCAGGCTTAAAAATAGAGGAGGCGCCTAAATACACTCCCTAATATCTAGGATAGTATCTTGCAGCTCTGCAATTACAGGATTATTTTTTTCCCCCTCCTGCTCTTCATCTTGATTTTTATGTAAGTCGTGTGATGATGAGGTGCCTTGACTGATAAAATTCAAGTGACAGCAGCACGGGCTGAGCCAGCACCTTCACCCACTCAGCTCCCACTGGTCCCCACACCCCACCTTTGCACCCCCCCAAATCCCGCCACCCCTGTTTGCAGATATGAATGAGTTTGTTTACTCTCCGACGACCTCGTGATGTCTTTGCACAGACATGACCTGAAGTCATTATTGCTTTTGGGCTTCTCTGTTTCCATGGCGACTGTCTCCGGGTTGGCTACTTTCCCAAGGTCACCATGGCAACTATCAGAAGGGAATCATGCTTGGGATGCTTTGGCTGGATTTTTCATGAATGATTAGGATGTGTGACACGATGCAGACGTGGAAATGGGGAGGGTTTGGGCTGGGCAGGAGAAGGTGGGGGGAGACAGAGGACTCCCGCCAGACAGGAGCTCTGCGGTGCCGCGGGTGTGCAGCCCTCGAAGCCGCCCTGTGTCGGGGGCACCAGCGCCTCACCCCTCCCCTCTGGGGAGCCATAGCAGAGGCTGTGATGGTGGCACGGCTGCTGGTGCCTCTCCCGGGGTAGGTACCATCAGACCGTGGGGTGAAGGGGTTGCGTGGAGGTGCAGACAGGTGGATTTTCTGCAGGGCGCTGCTCGGAGGGGTGTAGTCGTGGCTAAGGTGAGAGTGAAGGGCAGTGTCACGGCAGGGGATGGGCTGGCTGTGGATGGACATGCCTCCACGTCACTAGAAACATCAAGCAGGTCTGATCTTGCAGTCTGGGGCTGGAGGATTGGGAAGCAACAGTCTTGGTGTGTTGGGAGAGGTGAACTCCTTCCTGGCTTTGTTGTTGGGGGGGCTTTTGTTTCTGTTGTTTGGGTTTTCTGGTAGCATCTCCTTTGGGTGGGGACAGTGCTGGAAGCAGGTTACAAACCAGGCAGCTTCTCTCTGGGTTGCTGGCTCAATTTGGAGCCGAGCTAATAATCATCAAAATGAGGATGAAGGGAGTTGTTGTCTTGTGGCTTTTCAGTGCCTTTTATGAGCAGAGGTAACTCGTAATTCAGTCCCTAATAGGCCATTTGGAGCGTCTGGGATGCCTCCATAGGGAGGTGAGCCAGTGACGGGGCCTCGGAGGCCACGCTCCATTCTCCCCTTGGGAAGGGGTGGCACATGGCAAGGTGGTGCGTGATGCTTAGTGTGACTCTTGTTTACAGATGAATGTGGGTGTCCTTCTTTCCTCCCTGCCCTGTCTTCTCTGCTGCATCTTAGCGTGGTTAACAGCAAAATACGAGGTCTGGCTGTTAAAAAGCAATGCACTTGTCAACACAAATTTCTCTTGCTCTTATCTGAATAGGGTAAATGATATCTGAATCCATCCCAGTGCTTCAAACAACTCTGTGCTTATTTCTTTTAATGGCGGTTGATTTGGGGGTTTGGGCCGTGTGTTGGGTATCTTCATCCTGCCCTCGTCTCTGTGATTAACCTGGAAACCTTGTTTTGTTTTTCCAGTTGCAATTTCTGAGCAGTTTTGTCCGGAAGACTGTGCTCAGGTTATGACGACTAATCCCAAACCGAACAAGGCATTAAAGGTAGGGAAGAGGCTGAGTGGGTGGTGCTGGGTGGCTGGGGAGGCTGTCACAGAGCTGTGCCGTGCTGCTCCTACGTGACTGTTCTTTTTCATTCCCAGAGACTCTTAGAAATGGGTGCTGGTACAATTTCCCACTGTTTACAGGAAAGGTTAGGGTAGAAGAATACTGGCATTACCCAGAAAGAGGCCTGAAGTCTCTGGGGTGGCATGGAGGCTGGCATATCTCAGCAGCTACCCAAGAGACTTCTGACTACAGGAGGAATTGGCAGCATCCTGAAACCAGTGCTCCCAGTCTTTGCAATGAGCTGCTTTTACTCTCAGGATTAGGAGGCACTGGGCAAGGGACTTTTTCAGCTGGTGTCTCCCAGATCCATGAGACAGTAAATGCCTCAGACTTACCAGCCTGATGGTGGTCTCTGCCTGGGCTGTTCATGCATGGTTGAAATTTCTTTCTAGTGTTTTGGCTCTTCATTCCATATGTCCTGCGGTCTCTGAAAAGACAAAAGGATGGTGTCCTAAAAGTTCTGTGTTCAGTGATATTGATGGTGTTTTTCAGCCTAAACAATTTTGTGATTCTGAAAATAATGGTGGTGGCAAATGTGCTTGAGGAACGGGCAAGGACTTGGTGGTTTTTCTCATGTAACTTCAGTTACTACATGCTGTGCCCCAGCAAAACCAAATCGGGCTGTCCTTGAAGCCAAGCATGGTTGGTTTTGTTCACGACTCAAATGAGCAATCTTCAACGAAAAACCACAAAATGCTGAATTAAGCCCTGCACAGAAGCAGCTATTCTGCTTTTGAGATGCTGCACTGGTGTCCCAGCATAATGCTGGGATAAGGTGTCATCTTTAGCATTCATTGTGAATTCCAGGTCCTGACAAAGGACTTCACAAAAAAAGGCTTCAGCTGACTCTACATTTATCCCCTTGAAAATCTTGCTGTTGGGTTCCCACTGGGTGTGTAAAGATCTGTGACCTAAGAGGGTGATCCAGACCCAGACAACTGCAGTGCTCAGATCTCTGCCATGTTTAACCCAGATGTTTTAGTGGAGTTTGTGCTCTCCACAGCCCATCAGGAGTATTTCCCAGGTAGGGATGTCACGTTGCTGAGGGGTGGCCTTTTCTCCTTCTGCTGCCCAGACCACCCGCTCACCATCGGGTTGCTGCTACCCCTGTGCTGTTGGTATTTGCAGGTAAAGGAGGAGTCAGGAGAGAATGCCCCAGTGCTGAGTGATGATGAACTCGTGTCAATGTCCGTACGGGAGCTGAACCAGCACCTGAGGGGTCTCACCAAAGAGGAGGTCATCCGTCTGAAGCAGCGGAGGCGCACGCTCAAGAACCGGGGCTACGCTGCCAGCTGCCGCATCAAGCGTGTGACTCAGAAAGAGGAGCTCGAGAGGCAGCGGGTTGAGCTGCAGCAAGAGGTGGAGAAGCTGGCCAGAGAAAACAGCAGCATGAAGCTAGAGCTGGATGCCTTGCGCTCCAAGTACGAAGCACTCCAGACCTTTGCTCGTACTGTGGCGCGAGGGCCTATTACCCCGACCAAAGTTGCCACCACCAGTGTCATCACCATCGTGAAATCAGCCGAAATCTCATCCAGTTCTGTGCCCTTTTCAGCAGCCTCCTAGTGCTCTCGGTGGGGGGAACTAGCAGCCTTTCAGAGGGGAGGGGATAAGGCTCTTATGCATTGTTCCGGAGTCCTTGGTCACGTCAAGAATTGGCATTTTAAGAAGTCTCTTCCAAAAGTGCAAAAAAACAGAAGAATATTAAAAAAAAAAAGAAAAGAGAAAAACAAACAAACCCAAAGGGTTCCTACAAAGGGAACTTAACTGGCTGCTTCTGTCTGGACTCAGTGGCTCCATCAACCTCTCGTGTCCAGGATTTGAGCTCTGTATGCAGTACAAATTGCAAGATCTGCTTCCTCCTTCCCTCTGCCTCCACAAACCCCTCTCAGCTGTGGGCAGCTTTCCAGCTGGGAGAAGATACCTGAGGAGCCTCCGGAGTCTTCGTGAATGATGCTCAAGAGCCAGGAAACATATGGACCGTAGAAATCATCATGTGAGATGAATGTATAGGAAAAAGAGTTTCCTTTAGTGGCCTCCTACTCCTTGTAAGAAGGGTCTCCCCTACCTTCTCCACTTCCACCTGATATTATGAGGGCAGGAATATAGGCTTTCTGGGTTTGATTTCATCCTGCTAACAGTGGATGGGAGTGGGAGGATGATGGAGATAAATGCTTGGGTCTGACCACACCCATTAAGAATAACCTTTTGTTTTCAATCCATGCTGTTAAAATATGGAAAAATATATATTTTACATATTTTAATATGCCCCATTACCTGTGTGGCCTGTAAAAAAAACTACATTGCAGCCTCCTTTATTCCAAGCCCAAGTTTCCTGATAGCTCCTTCCCAAAGGTGTGCCTGTGAATTGGGTATATTTATGCAGTTTATTTCTTCCAAATGATCCGCAGTCTTGAAGTAGCAGCTTTTTTTTTCCTGGGTTACCTGAAGCTGAAGGGAGGGAGGCACAGTAAATGCTGTGAAGAGCAGTGTGGTGAGGAGGAGAAGGGGAGATGAGGAGGAAAAATGCTGCATGTATTACTGGTGGAGGCAGAATTCGCTGGGAGAGAAGGTGGGACAGTTCTGCTGGGATCAGCACTGCGAGAAAGGGTTTGTGCAGAGGATGTTGGAAGGATGTTTTTAAAGCACTGAACTGTAACTAGAGGGCAATAGCATTCAGCCAGGAGGAGAGAAGTTTAGAGTCTCTTCTTTGACAAAAGCATTTGTATGTTAGCAATGAGCATCCTTAGCTGGAGAGCTGTGCTCACCAGTCCTTGGTGATCAGAAAAGGGCTGTGGGGAGGTCAGATGGGAACTTGGAAGAGTCTTTCCCTCTCCACAGCACGTCAGATGCTGGATTTGGGATCCAAAGAGTACAGTGAACAACCCTCAGTGTTCAGATAACCTGTGTGAATGTGACCCTGAAACTTGATGCTTTCTCTTGCAAGTGGGTGAGTTATAATGAGGGCAGGATGGAAAATCAATGTGCGTGTAGGGGACAGAAGAATTGGGATGGAGAAGTCGTTTGTTTGGCTCTGAGCAGTGGTTTGGGAGAGGGATTTCTGGCTTGGCAGTGGGCAGGATTTGGGAAGCTGAAAGGAGAGATTCTGCTGTCACGCAGCAGTGATGAACAATGAATGTTTCCAGGTCACTGTAAAAAAAAAAAATAGCTATGTTGGTGTTTGTGTGTTTTGTTGTTGTTTTTTTTTCTTCTTGAAGTAGGAAAGGGAAGGGACTGTGTGTTTTGTAGGGCAGGTCAGAGACTTATGGAATGGACGATGCCTGTTGTCATGCAGGTGAGAAAAGAATGAGATTGCTGAGGTTTTTAAGATGAGGAGAAGAGCTTAGAGAATTTGGGCTCTGGAACAAAGATCACGGATAATTCATAAGTGGTTTGGACTGAAAGAGAATAATCAAGTGCTACCGTTGTTGGAAAGAGGACAGTGAACTGGCATATGACACCCAGTATAATTTGTTGTTTGAGGCTTTGTCTTGCCTTGAATGGCAGTAAGTTGCTAGAAATTTAGTGAAGCCCTACTTGTCTTTGGAAGAAGTTGTTAGCTTGCTTTTTCTTTTTTTTTTCACCTTGTCATCGGAGTCTCTGGATTTCCCAGGAGGATCCTTTGTGAAATAGGTTAATGAAAAGAGAAACCTCAGACTTGGTTCTCATTCAGTCCCCAACATCGACATCCGTGACTTTACTGAGCCAGAAAGGGTGTCAGTGAAATGCTTCCTGAAGGCTCGTTCCCCCTGCCAGATCCACGCGTTTTGGAGGGGAGCAGGAAGTTTCCTTCAAGTGATTTTCCAACACGTAGAGTTTGGATGGCACTTAGTGTTACCTCATTTCTCCTCCATTCCCTCCCTATCTCCAAACAGGCAGATCGATGTCCTGTGTATCAGTACCAGTTATTGACTCCCACAGCAGAAGCTGAGGAAGAGAAAGATGTTACGGTCATTTCCTGGTCCTCTCATGTTCTCCAGCTCACAGACATTGGACACTTTCCCAGACCTTACAGGTGCCTCCAAAAACAGGCAAAATGGAGACTCCTGGCACTGTTGGGGCTTTAAATGAAAACTTTGTTGAAAAAGGCCAGTTGACTTGAAAATGCCCAAATGCTTCCAGTCTTTAAAACAGCTCCAGAGCTCCATAACATTCCTGGCTAGATAGGAACACCCTCTGGCTGCCCTTGACACCCCTCCGGGGAAATCAGACCTGTCTCACTGAAGGGGACAGAGGTTGAACTTTGTTCCTGGGGTCTTCTTGCTGTTGGAATGAGTTGAGAAACATATCTTTATGTGGCACTTCCCTTGTGGCCAAGTATTTCTTTTTTTTCCAGTTCTTGGAAGGGTGCCAAAGGCTTGTCCAAGTGATTGCTAGTTTAGTGCTGGTAGGCACTTAAATCTCTGGTCACTCGATAAAGAACAAGAGGCCTGGGTGTTGTTAAAGCTGTTGATACCATAGCCATGGTAGGTAATCCATATTGGATATCCATAAGGACCACGTGGAAATATTTAAAGAGAGAGAAATATATATATAAATATATAATTATATACATTTTATCGTACAGATTTTTCGTAAAAAAGAAAAAAAATAATTTTTTTTCCAAGTTTGATACTGTAAATCTTTATTAAAAGAAATTGCCAGTCCAGGGCTCCCTGGGTGGTGACCTGGAGGAGAATGAAATGTCCTGGCTAAACTTCCACAGAGGGATCAGAATTGCAAGGTAACGTGGAGGGAGGAATGACCCGAAAGCTGTTGATCGCGTTGGAGACCCAGCTCCTCCACCCTCCTCCCTGGAGGGCCCTCCAGCTTGGGGTTGTCGCGTTGCATTCCTCTGGGGTTCGGTTTGTTTCTGTTGTGTTTTAATTTTTTTGTTTTGTTTTGTTTGTTTTTTTTTTCTCTCCGTCCTGCACTTGCCAGCCTGACACCCAGGGTGAGCGGGGCACGGGGAGCTGGCGGCGTGGGACGCGTCCCGCAGCCGCGCCTCCCGCGTTTCTCTGCTGCAGTACTTTGGATGGCTCCCTTCCCTGCCCCTCTTAGTTTGTCCCCCCGACCCTGCTGAGGAGGAGCGGGGGATCTGATTTTTGGGTGCTGGGATCCTCTTCCCCTGGGCCTGGCCTTTCTTTGGTTGCTCCCCATCCTTAGTGTGACGCAGGAGGCGAGGCTGGGTGGGAGGCAGGAGAAGACGAAGGCGTCGGGAAGGGACTCCTCTGTTCTCGTAGACGTGTTTGCTGTGCTCTCTGTTGGGAGTGGGGAACCTTTCCCTCCAGGGCAGCTCCAGATCCCTTTGAAACAAGGCAGCATCTCTGCTCCTGCCCAGCTCTACATCTGCCAGGAGGAGACCACAAATTGCAGAGACCTGGGTGCCACGGCAGCTCCGGGACAGTGGGAGGGACGAGGCGCTGGCACTGGGCTGGGGCGGATGTGAGCTGTGCCACGGGATGGCTCAGACCCGGGGAGGAGGAGAAGGTGGCAGTTTTTTCTCTCTCGAATCATTTAAACTTCATTGTCATGATTGTTTTTATTTAAAAAAAAAAAAAGGAAAAAAAGAAAAAAAAACGGAAAAAAAAAAAGAAACAAAACAAAACCGAAAAACTTTTGTAATGTGGATTTGTTTTCCTTCGTCTGTATTTCAGTCTGCTGGGGTGTTTCCGTAGATGGTGGATACTTGCTTTCATTTTTTTAATGATAGAAGTCTTCTGTTTTAAGTTGTTTTTTATCACCAGCTCATTCTATCCTCTGTGGTTACTCAGTAATTTCATTTCAATATTTATTTTTGTGCTGCTTTTTTATTATAAAATAAATTATTGATATACCAAGCAATGTGGATTCCTGTTTGTAAGGCGAATAGCCCTGTGTATGTGTCCATTACTTCTCTTGACAGCCACAACGTAATTTATTGCTGTAAATTTAGCTGCAGTGACTGGTTTTTTTGTACCTTTCCAATAAAGCATTTTCTGGTTTCAGACTTGCCCTGGTCTATGGTCAGCGTTTTGGAGCCTGAATTGATCTTCAGTGGAGTGTTTTCCTCGGGTTTTTTTTGCTGCCTGTCCCAAGTGCAGCACCCGCTTGCGGTGAGCCGTGTGTTTTTTGGAGGCAGGCTGGGCTAAAGCAAGTGGGATGGCAGCTCGGGCTTTTGCAATCATCTGACCCAGCCTCCTGGAGCCCATCTTGGCCTTGCTGTGGTGCTTTCTTGGGCCACTTGGAATGTGCTCCAGGGATAGCTGTTGTCCGAGCTGTTTGTCAGGTCGATGCTGTGCTCAGACCGCGTGTGTTCCTGACCCAGGAGCTCTGTGCACAATCAGGGGCTGTCTGTGTTAGCACAAGCAGGACTGACAGCTCAGCAGGCACCTGCCTGTAGTTGTGATGCTGAGCAAAGCCACTTGTGGCTTGGAGACACTGTGACCTGCCTGGAAGTGCTGGAGAGATACTCCTCTCTCTTCCTTTGGGTTGTGAAATATCCCTTCATGCTTTCCCTGTGTGACTGCATGTGAATAAACTGCTTTAACCCCTTACATCAATACTTCATATTTTTGCTTTTCCCTGTTGGGGCTTTTAAAAAGGTGGTACCTTGTACCAGTGAGCTTCCAGGGGTTGTGTTGGCTTTAATTCCCTATTTCAAGGGGTAGAATTTCTTGAGGGAACAGCTGAAGGGGGTAAAACACTTGGCCTGTGTTGAGGCAGTAGGTTGGAGACAGATGGGTGTGTTGGCCAAAGCTGGAATTAAGAGGTAGGGCAAAGTGAAGAGGAGCAGGGCTGAAAGGCTTTGTGTGTCAGCAGGTAATGGATGGTCATTAGGTGGGGCCAGGCAGGCTTGGCTGAGCAGCACGTGGGTGAAGCCTGAGGGTGATGGCAGTCTCTGTGCTGAGCAAAAAAAGCATCATCAGCTGCTTTGGCTCCTGCCTGGAGTCACTGCAGCGAGGAGCTGGCAACAACAGAGGGGACAGGGAGGTGGGACAGTTGTGACTGTTGGAGGGATGGAGGAGCATCAGTTCAGGAGGAAAAGGGCATCAGGAATGGGCCAGGTGAAGGTTCAGAAGTGAAAGGAAACTCAACATTTACCATGCATAGGTGAGGAGCATAGAAGGTCGCTGTGAACAGGGTGACAAAAGCACAAATCCTGCTCTCTGGCACAGGTTTGGCAGTCTGGTGCCTGTCAGCAGCTGGGCCCAGGGACTTGGTGAGTGCTAGCACCCAAGAAAAGAAGTGTCTGTCTCTGACTGGGTGCTGTGCAGTAAGCAGCCATGTGTGAGAGCTGCTCTGCTTTGGTGCCAGCAGCTGCCTTCCTTCCCCTCTGCTTTTAGAGAGGTCAGCCTCAGCTCCTGCAGGTGTAGTGGCAGGGTTTGCTGTGATGATCATCCCTGACATGAGTGGGGTGTAAACCTGCCTGATCCAAGCCCAAAAAACACCAGGAGATCCGATAGCTGCAGCTCGGCCTTGTCCTTGGGGAAAGCCCGAGGACAAGCGACAACGGGAAAACAAATCTGCCGACCACTGGAGCCTGCTGCTGGCAGTGAGAGACGCCTGTTCCTCCCAGGCTGCCTGCTGGCGTGGCTCCAGGCACAGCAGGCTCCTGTGTAGGTCACCCGTGTGCTCGCCGCCAGCTTTCGCCGTGTCCTTGTTGAGGAGGTGGAGGAGACGCGTGAGCGGAGGAGACGGCGTCCAGCCTACATCAGCGTTGGCATTTCTGTTCCCCATGGATGCCTTTTGACAGCCTGAGGGCTTGAGGGCCGTGACAGCGCCCAGCCTGAGCCATCAGCTCTTGCCTCTCTCCCCTCTCCAAGAAGAAGGACGAGCAGGAGGCCCGGGCTGGAGCAGGGAGGGTGCCTGCTGTTGCCGTCGCGGCAGCCAGCTGGTGTCCAGCCCAGCACGGCTCCTTCAGGCTGGTATCACACTGCTGACTTGCATGAGTCACAGCTGACTTTTTTTTTTCTTCCCCCCCTTGTTTGGCTTGCAAGAAAGATCTGTTTTACATATAATACAGTAATCAGGGCTTGACATAAATAGGCAAATGTTATTGTCTGCATTGGGAATTGCACCTGCTGGCAGAGCAGTGGAGGCAGCCCATTATGCACCGGAGTCGATCATTTGTGCAATGAAGTACAACCACGGTTCTTGCTGTGTTCTTGTGCAAGTCTTTATCTCAGCGGCTGCGAGAGCACCAGCAGATGTGCCATCATCACCTTTGCAGTCTGTCCTCGCCCCAGGAGCCAGAGCAGCCTCTGTTCCTGCAGCTGTGGCTGTCCTCTCCCAGAGGGGTGAAGACCAAGATGTTCAGCTGAGATGTCCCTGCTTCTGTGCTGGCTGCATTACAAAGCCAGGCAGCCTTGTCCCCGAGTACTGAGGCTGCACTTTCTATGCAGGACAGTCTGGCTCCCAGGATGTGCTGGATCCTGGATGAATGCCTGGATGTGCACAGCATCTGGCTCTTGTTTGTGGACCTCCTTGCAGGAAAAGTGGCAGCAGTCTCACTGGCTGAGCAGGTATGAGCAGTGCTCTTTCTGACCAGAGGGACTTGCAGGACTGGCTGAACTATGGGTTGCTCATGTGGAGTCTGGGCTATAGCATGCTAAGATTTCTCCAATAATAATAATAATAAACAGAGCTTGTCTTATTGGTGCCGGAGTCTGGGCTTAGCTTAGCTAAACCAGATCCAGCACCTCTGAACCAGCTTAGGTGAGGATTGGAAGAGGTGCTGTACAAGGAGAGGAAGCAGGAGACACACACGTTCTTTGTGGAGTGAAAAAGATGAGCACAAATCCTGTAGGAATGCCAAAATGTGCAGGATGCTGTGTGTGCAGGTATTTCTGCTGGGCCAGCACTGAGGGGCAGGGAGGACGTTAAGCTTAAGAGCATCAGCATTATAGCAGGAACAGGCAGATCGTGGGCTTTGCTTGCTGAGCTCAGTGAAAATGCTTGCTTGCTCTGTGCTAGAAATTGCTGTTTATTAGAAAAAAAAATAAATAATTTTGTGTTGTGATTTACATTTTGCAGCTTAAGAGCAGGGAAAAAAAAGATCCAAATTCTCTGAGTTGTGTTTAAAAGGGCTCCAAGACTTATCCATTGGTTTGTTTGCCACATGAGTGCAAATCTGAGGCTATAGATTTGCCTTCATTCTTGCACTAGCCAGCTACCATCCCAGACAACAGCCCAACCAGTGCCTAAGTTCATTCCCAGGGATCATCTCATTAACAGGAGAATAGAAATTAGACTAAAAATTGGGGAAGAAAGAAGAAGTAGTCTTAACAGAAGGATATGAGCTTACCATCACTGATACAAAGAGCATCCCTCCATACAGTCTTCCCTTGCCTGTGGTCTTGCCCCACGTGGCAACATCCCTCAGCACCTCTCTACCCTCACCATGGTCACCCAGCTGGGCTCAGCTCCTGCTTGCCTTCCCACAGGTCAGGCAAAGCCCAGGGATGGGGAATGGTGAAGGGTTGGGAGGAACAGACAGTTCCCAGTAAGTGAATTCCTACCACCACCAGTCACAGTCTGGTTCCCTAATAAAGATTCTGATAAGGAAGCTGGAATCCCTTTTAACTTCTGATCCGTTCAGAGATAAGCTGGTTTAGACATAAACAAGCACTTCTGTCACCGGCAGCTCTCAGAAATGCAGCTGCAGACCTCTGCCTAGTCCCAGTGAGGTCCTGCCACACTCCCAGGGGAGTTACTTGGACAGCTGCATCCACATCTGGAGGGAGAAGAGGATGACTGACTCTTTCTCCATGGTAAAGATCTTCTGCACATCTCTATAAGCTTTGCTGTGAGAAGGAGAGGGGGTAAGATGTAAAAATAAGGAATGACGTCTTTCAACATTTACCGGGTTTTGAGGTGAAGCGAAGTCACCTTCCTGGGCTGGTTTTCTCCACGGAGCCCTTGGAGATCATTTTTTACTCAAATAGGGAGAAACTAGAGCAGAACTGTGCTGAGAAAAGCATTTCTCTCAGGCCTCAGCACTGCTTGGAGGTAAGAGTAGGGCGAGGGCGGCGGGTCTGTCCTGCACCCCGGCTCCCCCCCTGCCTGGCATCCCCCAGCATTGGCACAGGGCTGGCAGAGAGACAGCAGCAGTGGGGCAGCAAAGCCCAGGCTGCAACACAGGGTCCAACACAGCTTCATCCATGACAGCAGAAGCTGGCACTATTTCACTTAACCTTTTCTGGGTTATTGCATCTTCCCTTTGAGAGACTGGCTTTTTGGATAGAGTTCCTGGCTTCTCAGTATTCTGATTAGCCCAGGCTGTCTCAGCCTCAAGAGACCTCCCCTCTGCATGGGTTAAAACCTCTTCAGTGTCAATGTCTCTTCTGATACCTCCTACAGCTCCTCATCTGACAGGATTAGCATTCTCTTTTCAATGTTTTTGCTCTTCCTGCTGCTCTGTCCATCTATCTTGGAGGCCACGTGCCCGTTGTCCCCCGGCGCTTTGCGCTCTGCCTCCTGCATGGACTGCTGGGTGTAGTGCTGGTATGCAGGTGAGAAGTTGTGGATGGCATCCTGCACGATGTCCTGGGGGCTGATTGTCTCCTTCAGCCCACTTGAGATGCTCTGCATCGGGGCAAGGTTTGCTGCAAAACAGGGAGAGGAGGAGGGTGATGGGACAGCAGACAGTCAATGAGCACGAGTGATCCAAGCACTTCTACTTAGAAATTCGAGATCAGGGGCTCATTGTGGGCCATGTCAGCTTGTGATTCCAAGTTCCAAGGAGAAGGAAGGCAATCCCAGCTCCATGTTCCAAAGGATAGATCCTCTCCAAGAGCATGTGGGTGATACCACCATCCCCTAATCCTGCCCAGCCACACCAAGGTCTCCTTACCTGCCCCATTGTTTTAGCTTGTGGGTGTCATGAGGGAAGAGGGAGAAGAAATGCATGGAGTAGAGGGTAAAGAAATTCCTCTTGTGGCTTGTAGCATGCCATTGGCAATGGGATACTAATAAAATAAGGGAAGTTTCCTCTTTCCTTAGTCATTGCAGAAAGGAAGAAGTGAGGAAGAGTTACCTGTTGAGTTTTCTTTCTTCTCCCTGTACACGTGGCAGGTGAATGCGTAGCGCAGAGCAATGGAAGCAAAGAACATTTCAATGCAGATGATGAAGTTCTGGTAGCCAGCAGCCACTGTCCCAGCTCCCACCTCCTTCCCATCGATGATCTGAACTTCAGGGATCACCCCACATTTCTCCAGGATTGCCAGCAGTGTCCCTGTGTGGGGGAAAGGAGAGGGATCAGTTCTGCTCCTGCACCCCTGATCCAGGTGGGGCTATGGGAGGAGAAGCACAGGGTGTCTGTCCATGGTGGGACCCACCTTGCCAGAAGGAGAGGAAAATGACAGCCTTGATGGTGATGAACTTGAGGACTGGCTCAAACGGGCGCAGCAGGTCCATGGTGGCGAAGTAGAAGAGGAAAAGGGCATAAAGGGCCAGGCTGACAGAGAAGTTGTAGATGATGGTGATGTAGAGATATCCACTGTGGACACTGCAGGCAGAGAGAGAGAGAGAGGGAGAGAGCTGCTGCCCTGGGCTGTGGGGAGCAAAGCAAGTGCAGCTGGGGGCAAAAAGAGATCAAATGGGGAAGAGGAGGGTGCATAGCTTTGCTGTGGGGGAGAACACAGCCCAGGAGGGGGAGGAGGGCAGAGCTAACAGCTTCTCCTCTGCTGGTGGGACCTCCTTTTATTAATTTTTTTTCATTTATTATTTTATTTATTATGGCTCACAGGAGTTTTGTCCCTTTATGGTTTGGGGGCAGTGAGTATCTGTTCCCCAGCACTTTGGGCTCACAGTGCTCTCACTATCCATGGAGCAGCTTCCTGGGGAGACTGGCAGGACACACTGTGATGGAGCAGGGATCCTTCCTCTCCCATTCACCCCCCCCCAGCCCCAGCCAGCATCCTCACTTGAAGTCTCCATCGTGGTACTTCCCAAACGCCTGCAGGATGATGGTGACAATTGCCATGAGGGGTTTCACAATGCAGAACTGCAGTGTGGCCTGCACAGGGGAGAGACACAGTGTCCCATGGGCAGCAGGACATCCCACCCCTCTGCTCCAGGGACACACTCAAAGGAGGGAGCAGGGCTCTGGGGTGAAATATGAACCAGCACAAGGTCTGCACATGCACATGAGAGGGAGTGGGGTTTCCAGAAGGCAGCTCTCAAAAGGCAGCTTAGCCAGTCAAAGGTGGGGGACCAGAGGGCTTGGGGACAGACAGGTGACAGGATTCAGCCCACAGTGCAGTCCTGGGGAGTGAGACAGCATCCAGGCTAACCTGGGACTGGACAGAGATGGCAATCTGAGCTCTGCAGTGGGAGGAGACCCTGACTCAGCAATGAGTCAGAAGCAAGGACAGCAAGCAGCCTTGCTGCTGGCCAGGTGCCAGCAAGCTGGTGACCTGCCTCCCTCAGAGGAAAAAAGCCTCCAAATCCAGCATTTTAAGTGAATAATGAAGCTAAGCTCCCTTGGCAGGGCAGTGGGGAAGGAACCTGCCTCCCAGAGAGCCCTCATCTGGGGGAAGTGGAGTCGATGCTCCCCATGGGGTACCCACCTGCTTGCAGAAGCGCAGGAACCCGATGGAGTAGGACATACCCTGAAGGCAGCAGGTCCCATAAAAACAGCTGGACCTGGAAGCAGAAGGCAAAGAGATGCCATTGGGGGTGCTGGGTGGGGAAAGTGGGTGGAGGAGGAACTCAAGGATGCTGGGACTTACGCAATGGGCTTCCCTCGGATCTCTGTCATGATGGTGCTCTCCCCTCCGAGGTACTCGAAGCACAGGCTCAGGAAGCTGTAAATCACAAAAGCTGCCAAGGCAAGGGCAGACAGGATCAGCAGGACTGATGGAAGTCCTGGAGGGGGTTGTTTCATCTCACATTTCTTCCTGCTCAGGTGTTTCCTCATCCAACCTGGCACTGCATCAAGATTTGGGATGCTGGTGGGTGGGAGCCCAGTGAGAGGAGCAGCATGTCAAATCTATCAGACTTCCAAGTGGAGTCAGACACATTGCACTATGTGCACAGAGTTCATTACAGACACAGCAGCTCCTCTGGGCACACACAGTCTATCCAGGGACCGTCTGCATGGAAGTACCTCAAAATTGCTAAGGGGCAGCACAAACGGCTGGTGGCCAGCAAGCAGCAGGTCCTGAACAGTTTTCTTGGACATCCCCACCACTTATTTTTCATATACACCAAACCTGAAGTAATGCAAATGCCCACACAGCTTAATTCCTGAGGAAGACAGGACCAACGTAGAAAAACAGCCTTAATCCTGACAAGTTTCCCTTGTACTTCAACACACCCCAACTCCCCAATTTCTTGGGTATATCTGCCTCGTGTTTTAGAGAAGCACTTCTATCCCACAGGTAAGCAGAAAACCTCTTTCCCAGAAATGTGGTGCTGGAGTCCCTCCAAGCCTGTGTCTGAAAGGCAGCAGCTTGTGTTTGTGTGTGGGGCATCTCCTCCATGCTGCTGACAGAGAAGGAAGGGGAAAACTTCTTCATGGAGGAAGGGAGAGTGGGAAGTGAAAGCAATGGAGATTTGCCACTTCAAGATGCTCCAGAGACAGGTCAGCAGGATGAGAGCCCTGCTTTGCCTTCAGCCTCCCTGCTGACAGATGCTGTGCTCACCTTCATAGCAGTCCCGCACCGAGTCGAAGTAGACGTAGTACTGGTGGCTGCCGAGGAGGAGGAGGCTGAGCCAGGAGTCGAAGGCGTAGACGGGCACGATGAAGAGGATGCGGATGATGTAGCGCTGCTCCTTGGGGATGGTGTAATTCCTCAGGTGTGTGTAGATCTGCAAAGTGCCCAGCATGCAGAGTTGTGGCTGACACAGGTCAGGATGGGAACCCCCAGGGCACAGAGGTGCTGTGCTAACCCTCCTCTCTGGGGCGAGAGCTCTGCCAGCCTTCCACCGCAGACCATTGCAGTGAACACACACAGCAGGCTCCATCCCACTCCCTGGGCCCATCCCTTGCATGAAAACATGTAGAAATCAGGGTCCTTCCCTGGGCTGTGTGAGGAATGTGCCCTCCCCTGTGCAGCCCCATCCCAGTGCTTGGAGACAGCTGCTTGCCTCATGCTTGCCTTCAGCAGCATGGACCTGCACAGCCCCCTGAACCATGCCCACTCAGGGTATGCCTCAAGGCAGCTGGTGCTGAGCACCCCAAACACCCCAAATGCCCCACTGGGTGTTGCCTCTGGGCAGTGCCAATGCCCTGCAGCCTCTCCTGGCTCTGGCAACCACCTGGGGAGAGCGTGGGCAAAGTCCATCCTTATGAGCTGCCAGCACCAGGCTCCTGACAGCAGGGATATCACCTCTGGGCAGCAACAGGAAGAAATACTTACCAGGAGCTGAGTAATTTGCAATGGACTTGGGGGCAATCAATAGTTTTGCTCTCATTTCAACCCCTGTGCTGAGCCCCACCTCTGCTGCAGCCCATACCTGGTGGAAGGTGACGATGAGTGCTGACCACACGAAGATGCCAGAGATGACCTTTGCTGCTGTGGTGGTCAGGAAAAGCTGCTGGCCCTCCTGGGAGGTGTTGTGGGCAGCCGTGAGCAGGGCAACAGCTGAGAATGGCGGGGCTGAGGCCAGCCTGGCTGCTGTGCCAGGCCCCAGCGTGCCAGGTGCCACGGGAGAGGGCACAGCACGTGTGGCATTATTCATCTGCAGGGAGGGAGAGGGAAGGGGAGTGGTGCAGGACAGGGAAGGCCCCAGCAGATTTCCCAGCCCGCACAACATGTACAAACCTCCTGGGAGGTTTATCTCCTCCCCAGGGTTTTTCCAGGGTGTCCTCCACCCAAACCAGCCCCTTTGCCACGACTGGGTCTGCTTCTCCCAGCAGGAGAATGCAAATATCCTTCAGGAGTAGACCCTCTTTTCCCTGAGGAGGCCTATGCAGTTCCCATGTCTCCCAAAAGACACACTTCTCCTTCCCAGATTGGCTCCTTGCTTTCTCAGGAATCACTCCCACTTGAAAGGGAATGATTTGTGCATCTTTTCCATCGGAAAACAGAGACTTAAGGGTTAAAACAATCCCTCACCCAGGATAATAAAGAGTCCCTTACCAACAAGCCATCAGGACACTTGTGTCATCTTCCTTGGGAGCCCAGAAAACACCAGGTTCTCCCCCAAATTTGGCTCCTTTCATCGTGTGTGGCCTGCTGGGGGAAAGCCTGGGGCTGCCCAAGAAACGAGACGTTTGGTGTCACCCACATTCTTCACCCAGTGATTTTGGGATTGTGGGGGTGTCACTGTGCCAGTAGTGCCAACCCCAAGACCTGAAGGACAGCCAGCAGTCCCTCCTGCACCCAAATTAAGCACAGGGGAGCAAGGCTGCCATGCCAGAGGCAGAGCTATGGCATCTCCCTGCTCAGTGTGTGCTCCTCAAAGCTGGCTGCCCCAAGGCACTGAGCATTCCTGGTGCAGAGGGTGGCTGGGCATACGGACACCGTGTACCCTGTGGTTACAGACAGCAAGGACCAACCTAATAATAAGCAATTATTTATAGGGCAGCTTCATATCTCAAGGCCAACAGATGCATAAACTGCCATGTTTGGGTTCTCTTTCTGTTAATCTATGGAAAGCTGCTTTTTCCCCAAGTATAACAATAGTGGTTTAAAAACCCAACAACCTGCAAGCTGAACTCTAACAATATAGATGCTTCTCAGTGCATTGTTAATAAACAAATATTTTAGCTGCTGGGTAACTATCGCCTGGGGCAAAACTGTAAGCATGAACAGGAGAGAAGCACAAAAATATCTGCCACAGATAAGAGTGGTAGAGAATGACCTCGGTCCAATTAAACACTGAAAACAAACCAAAGCAAGAGCTGACCCTGGAGCTCCCTGTTCTGCCCTCTCACCGAACCCCAACCTCACAGGAGAGCAAACTCAGCTGGTGTCAGATCAACAGCCCTAAAAATACCTTTCCCCGGCTCTGGCAGCAGCCCGTGTAAGCGGAGATGCCCGGGCTGGCGAGGCCCCAGCCGCTCACCCCGCGTACCTGCGCTGCGAGAGGGGGAGCGGAGCTGGAGCTGGAGCTGGCTGCGGGGACAGCAGCGGGGCCGATAGTGTTACACAGCCAGCAGCGAGCCCGTTCCTCCCCCTGACACCGTCCTGTGCTCCTGCCCCGGCCAGCAGGAAAAAGGATCCCGGGAAAGCCGGGGCGGGAGCTGGTCTTTGGACAGACTTGGATGCTGCCGGACTTGCCTTGTAAACATTAACAGGAGGACGGAGATAGCTCGTGGCACAGGGAAGGAGATGAGAGTCCGGCTGTGCCTCGTTCCCCAGTCACTCCTCAATCTTTCTGGGGGTTGCCCTGCTGCTGGCTGGGGTAAATGGCTGCATTTGCACTTTGCTTTTGCCAGAGCATCATGACAGAGCAGTAAAGCTCACTCTTGAAAAGCTCACTCTTGAAAGCTCACTCTTTCTAGCTGTGTTTTCTAGTCACTTTTTTAATGATGCAGCTTACTCTCCAAAACATGGCAGAGAGCTGTGCTCTTCACTAGATCCATTTATTCTGTTTTCAGCCCAGTGCTGTGCCACAGATGCTTGGCCCAAGACATCCCATCTCCTATCAACTTTCCCAGCCATCGCGGTGTGAGCACGGTGGCACCAACAGCCAGTCCTGGCAGCCTCCCCGACATTGTCACACTCTGAACATTGCAGAACAAGTCGTTAAAAGCAAAAGCCTCGGTGCTGCTCACAGACAGGGCTCCCAGCTCCACAGGTAATTAGATCCCGGCCGTGGAAGGTAGTCAGGCAATTCAATGCAGTTAGAGAGCCATTTGCTTCCAAAACAAAGGCAGCAAGGAGACACCGGGAATAATACCAGCTGCAAAATTCAGCTCCTCGATGGGACTGAGCCGTATCCAATCTGTCTGTTTTCAGACACCTTGCAGGTAGCTGCCATACAGTGTCTACCTGTTACATGCACTCCCTGGGATATTAGAGATGCTAAGTGAGAACTGAAAAGATAAACTGAGCAGTGAAGCTTGTGCTCAGGCAGGCCACCTGCAAATGGGGCTTTTCACCTTGCCAGGGGTTCCTCTCCATCTGCAGGCTGCCAGAGCCCAGACTCCCAGCTCACACCCCTCCCTGTGTCCTGCAGCACTTAGGACAAATCCCCACCTCAGTGGCAGCCCCCTGTGGGGTGAAGCAAGTCAGCGGGGAAAGGTGAGCCCTGCAGCCCCCCAGCAGCACCTCTGAGATCCCTGACCCACATCCTGGGGAGGGGAGCGTCCAGGCTTAGCCCCACCAGAGCAGGAGGCATGCCTTTCCTCCTGGTTGCTGTCAGATAAAGCCAGGACACTCGGGTTGTTCACGGGACCAGCCTCTCCACACCACCATCAGGCAACTCAGGGGGAAGGACCTGCAGCACACAGCTACAAATCGCGGCAGGGCAGCATCGAGCCCTCTCTAAAGCCCATCTGGAGGAGTGGATGACGCAGGCACAGGGCTCTTAGCCGCCCTCCCAGCGGCTCCCACAGGTGCCCAGAATCAATGGCTGGGTCAACTCTGATTTGTGGGGTTTCCCCCAGCTGCACCCCCCAGGGCCCCACTCACCCTTTGGGGCTCCTCCGGGAGGGAGTCTGGCTGCCGTGCACCTGCCTCTGCATCCCCGTGCCCTCCTCCACCTGCACCGCCGGAGACTCCTCCTCCGGCCACCGTCCCAGCCCTGCCCGCCTGCTGGCCGCGGGCCCTGCCGCTGCCCCAGTTACCCTCGCTGCTCCCCGGCTCCCACCAGCGCCCCGCTTACCCTCGCTGCTCCCGGCTCCCACCAGCACCCCGCTTTTCCCACCTGCGTCCCACTCTCCCTGCCAGCCCCCAGTGGTTCTTGCTGTGCCCCGGGCTCGCCGGTGCCCCGCTTACCTTACCCGCAGCCCCTGGCTGTGCCCGGCTCACCCTGCCAGCGCCCTCCCTGCGCCCCGGGCCCCGCGGGAGCTGGAGCAGCAGGTCGGGCTTTGTCTCCCGCAGAAAAGCCACCCAACTTACCTTTCCAGTCCGCCGTGCTCGGCACCCACGCCCGGAAAGCAAACACGGATGGAAAGCCGCGGCCCGACGCCGCTGCCCCCCGCCCAGCACACGTCCGAGGGCAAGAGCTCTGCCTGGGTGGCAGAGGCAGCTTTCCCTCAGCTGGGAATGAATCCCTACCTGGAGGAGAGCGGTGACTAAAAGGCAGGCAGCTGGTGGCACCTTGTGCCTGTTGTTTGAGCAGGCCTTCCCCTTGGTTTATTGTGCAGCAGACAGGAGCAAAGTCGAAGGACCAATTGCTCGTGCTCTGATTTACGGCACGTGGAAAGGCAGCAAGGTAAGTCTGTCGTGGCTCTGAGCATCAAATCAGGGAGGTTTCCACGTCCTTTCCTCACCCACAGCCCTAAGCAGACCAGGTGGCACATACACAGCCAGGAAATGAAGGTACTTATCTTGTGCCTGGCTTTTAGGTAGTAGCACTCAGCTCTTTGGGGCACAGCAGTGGTATCCACTGTATCACCACAGTGGAAGATGCAATTTTCATCCAATTTGCTGATTCATGCATGTTCTCAAGCTGCTGGAGCTATGGACACAGTAAGAGCCTCAGTTTTGTGTCAGGAGAGAATCCCTACTAGCAAACCAAAATTGACAATAACTAATTCCACATGCCTCTCTCAGCCTTCCTAGACAAAAAAAAAAAAGGGAAGTGTAAAAGAGGAAAAATTTATAGCTCTGACAGATGCGAATCTTTGATTCTTGGAAGCGCAGTTTAGAAAATTATTTTTAGACGAAGTTTCTTGTCAAGGGCAGCTGGAAGCCTGCAGTGTTTGAACGTATTTTTAAAAGAGAGTTTCATTTCTCATAATCCCTTTAAATGCTGTAAATAACTCTTACTTCAGAGAAAAGAGTCCTTTCAAAATCCATTTTCTGCTTTTCTGCTTCTAGGGGATTTTTTAGCAGCAGAATGACCTGGCAGCTGGATCGCCGTGGTGGGGCAGGCACAGGCTCTGTGCTGATTCTGCTGTACCAACTGGTCTTAGCACAACTCCTCCCTGCCCAGAATCCAAGACCTGGCCTCCGTCTGTGCTGTCAAGTTTATAAGTGACAAAAGTGTGTAACAGCTCACTTAAAAATTTACTACTTGTTGTTGTTTATTACAAGAGGTAAAAACAAATGTGCTTTCCAAGCCAAAGGCAAAAGTTTGGCTATTAATCTTTGCATCAGCTCATACAACATAATGTGACACTTTCTGTGAATGACTTGGCAGAAACAACCCTGTGTAACCCCTCAAACCATCTGTCCCCACATCTCCTAAGACAGATGCTCATTGCAGGTGATCAGCCTATGGATGTTCTGTTTCTCCAACATGTTGGTACCACGTAACCCATTGGCAGAGATTATTTTCTTACCACTATTTTGGGTTCCTGTCTTCCACCCTGACATCAGCTTTGATGAAATTTGCAGAGCGTCATGATCTGCCTCTCTTTAAAATCAGAGTGAAAGTGGAAAATTAATTCAGACTACATCCAGAAAAGAATGGACATAAGGACAAAAGCAGCCATCTAGGACTCATTTCCTAAAAAAAGGCAAGAAAACCTTTCCCATTATACAACTGTTGATTTTTTTACCAAAGCTTGTATTTCAATTGAAGTGATTCTCACAGAGCAAAAAAGAAAACAGGTAAAATTTGATTTGACAATGTTTCTTTTATTCCCTCTGCACTGGGTGTTCCCCCTTTGTGGTATGGCACAGCTACAGAGCTTGGCATCTGCTGCTCCTCAGGACACATGTGCAGAGCCGAGCCCTTTCCCAAATAAATGACCCACCCAACATGATAAAAGTAGCACTTCTCTCCTATGTTGAGACAATTGCTCTCATCTCACCACTGTCTATATGGACTTGCAAACCTGTCCCAGTAATAAAACCCACAAACGTTCTACACAGTAGAGAAAAATTCATGAAATTCCTCAGGACGTCCAAAACCACCACAAAGACATTCCATCATTTTCATTTCTAGTCCTTTTAACTAGGTGGTGATGAGTCATGGGCTCAGGATCATTTCCTTGAATCCAGATGGCACAACTTCACCACACTTGGCAACTTCGGATCACTTCTCGTAGGGCCTGTATTCCTTCCATGGTTTTGTCCTTTAAAGCCATGGCGAGGAGAACAGGTTTGTTCCCAGCTTCCTGCGACACAAATGCCACCAGGTTTTTGGCACAAACATGAACGAGGGGCTGAAAAGCAAAGGGATACAGATGTACACTCCTACAGATGGGAGAGTCCTCCTGCAGGAGTTAGGAGAGGAAGAGCCCTGGAGTGGTGTGGAGAACCTGTTGATCCTGGGCTCAGACTGAGCAGTTCCAACACGGTCAGCAAAGACAAGCCATGGGACAGGGAATTTCAGAAAGCACTTTCTCAACCAGCTTAAAAGGGAAGAGTTTGGTCCCATGAGTGTGCCAGCCACCCACACCACCCTGAAACAACTTTACTGGAGCTGCACTTGAATTGAGTTCAGCACTGTCTGGGAAACTTGGAAACTCAGTACAGAGAATCCTTCCATAATCCTCCCACCTGAACTATGGCACCAGTGTTAAATGATATGAAATGCTATGGATCCAAACGCCTTTATTTCCTTCACAGCCGGGTTTCTAAAGAAGGTTGCAAGTACAGTTTTTTTGTTTAAAAACTTGTTCTGAAGAGGGGATGTTCCACTGACAAGCTCTGAAAAAAAGCTGTTATTTTTGTAATTCCTAGAGATCCCCAAATGGTGTTAGATACAAAGTTTTTGTATGCCTGGTGTTACAGACATGTTGCTTTTTATTTTAATAGAATCACGAGAAGCAGAAATAAGAAGTGAGGCTGAAGGTGGCAAAAAAAAGGGATAAAACCTTTTCCATGAGCTTTCTTTAACAAGAATAGATCAGAACAGCATTGACTATTTCACTTGGAAGGCACCTACAATGACATCTAGCCCAACTGCCTGACCAACTCAGAGCTCAGGTTAGAACATTATTCAGGGGATTGTCCAAATGGCTCTTAAACACTGACAGGCTCAGAGCATCAACCACCTCAAGCCTGTTCCAGTGTCTGACCACACTCTTGGTGAAGAGGTGTTTTCTCCTGCCCAGTCTCAACCTCAGCCAGCACAGCTTTGAACCCTGGGGTTTATTTACACCCAGAGCTGTGTATTTGTCAGAAGGATCAGTTTGCTTGATTTTAGCTGCTGTTTGGAAATGTGCAACATCCCAAAGAATGATGTTAGCAGTGACAAGCAGGAAAGCAGCAAATTAGTGAAAGTCTTTTCTTGAACT